TTTATAACACCAATACCCGCATAGATCCAAGCTGGAAATGTCAATCTTCAATCTTAAAAAAATATCTACTCAAAATCCCTCTCTTCAATTTGTAACCAAAATATTTTTTTAGAAAGTTTGGTGAAGTACTATTTTTAATTTTTTGGTATTAGGTCTCTGAGGAGGTATTGTTTTTACAATTATGAGTTTTTATTTTTAGCTGTTATTTTTAATTGTGTTTCTGGAGCTCTGACGTCTCCTAAACCGATATTTTCATGTATTTGTTTTGTTGCCCTAGTTTATGAATAGAATAATTTAAGTTTTAATATTAATAATATGGCACAGTGCGGTTTTTAATCAAATACATAACATTAATTATGCGCACACACAAGCTTGGTATTATTTTTTTTATATGAGTAAATTCTCAGGACTTGTCAAAATAGTAGAACTAATTAATTATGAATAAATACCAAATGGTTTCTTATGGTATGTCGTTGCTGTAACTGTATACAATTAAATGGCAAATGAAATAAGTATAAATGTATGCGAACTATATTATGATAAATTCATAACTCATTGGATGGAAATATACTTATGAACTTATTATATTATGTTACCTACTGAACAATTAAATCAAATTAAATAATAAATAATAATAATAGTACATTTGATATTATTTTACACATTAAAGTTATTCGATAATTAAACAACTATTATATTTTTGTTGAAGGGAAGACATTGGATCATGAACATGTTTTATGATCAGCTAATTCTCTTAACAGCTGATACTCTTAAGTGTCAAATGAATTGTTGTACAACGTTAATTTAAATACCTAAAAAGGCAAAGCTTACGCACCCTTTTTTTTTTTTGAAAGTGCGCCTATGGTCAAACTTGAGTTGTCAGACAAGTAAATACAGCACGGCCTCCTGCAAAAAACTAACCGACACCGGTAACGCTTAATTGTAAAACAGATGTGTCAAATACAAAATCCTAGGTGTCCAATAGTGCCGAATCGGAAAACCAACCGGTAGTTAAGTCTCGACCGACATGCAGCTGAAAATTGTTTTCCCATAACATACGACGATTTAAATATTTAAACAAGGCCCCAAACGCCGCCAACTTGCTGCCAATAATTATTGGAATATTAACTTCATATTATTATGACCATTTCCCGCCCTTTTACAGCATTCCTATATAGGAAACAACCGCCCGGACCGGCTTAGCAAATCGGTAGGTACATATAGTAATATTATTTCTATGGCATAATAACGAAATTATTAGAGACGGTTGTGATCATAATTGTCACTTGCCGGTACCTTATATTATTGTTCGGCGTGGATTCTGCAAACATAGTTTAATATCATAACATAATGTTATAAAATATATGATTCTCGGCGTTAATTAAAATATCCATAACCGTCACAAAGGACAATAATCACCACATGTGCTCGCAGCTTAACGTACCTACAGCCAATGTGTGCAATCGCCATAATAGTTTTATTAATAGCTTTATACCAAGGGGATTTGTAGCAGTACAAATACAAATTATTATTATTATGTAGGTACTAAATTAGGTTCAAATTTGTAATCGGTTAACGAGCTTCCGGTATGAACTATTCACTGTATAGATATCATCCATACTCAATGCTAATAAGTTTGACTCTAGGCTATAGAGTACAAATATAATATAGAGCTATATAAGATCATATAATACCATGCAATCAGCAACGAAGTACTCAAGAAGGCGAGCGACAGTGTGACCACTTTATATACAAATAAATACTTTTTATAGATTCTTAAATACTGCACAGCATAATCCTTATCAACTATATAGGTCAATAGATAAATTGGAATTTCATACGATAATATTATAACTGATAAGTCATATGTCTATTGTATCACATAGTAAATCAAACTTAAAGTTAAGCTACTAATTACTAGTCACAGAGGCAACACTAGGTTAAAATCTCGTTTAAAATTTTAATTAATTTTTTTTAGCCATCTGTTTTAGTCAGTCCATTGTTAGACTAGTCGACAATTATTTTTTATAATAAACTCACATTAACGTTTAAAATCTTAGGTGGGAGGGCGAGTGCAGAGGAGTAGTGCCCAAAAATATAACGCTGTACCTCTCATTCCACCTACACTTGTTTTAAATGTCTGTGACCTGTAGACAAATTATTTAGAATATTCTGTCATTTTTTTTTTTAGTATATTGTGCTCTTACAAATAACAATTTCTAATTTGTATAAATTACTAAAAAATACAATTTAATTTATTAGTATTTGGTCGAATGCTATTTCGGCCAATAGTACAAAAATCTTTTGAATGGTAGTTGGTATAATTGCAAGTGTACTTTCTTCGTCATATTAAAGTCGTTTTTAAATCGTGTTGTATCAATAATATATTTGTTAAACTATATTAAATATATGTTTAGTATTCCTAATATTTGCTGAGCCTAAGACCAAACTAAAAAAAATATTATAGTTTTTAAAATTCTGTTTTATTTTGGCCCAAGTGGAACTGTTTTACAAAACTCATAAGCAATGCCTCGGACAAATCGATATCCTTCGTTTAATGTACTGATGTGATAGCTATATACTGTAAATTTTTCTATTGGATTTTGTGTCCTTTGTAGTTTGACTTCCATTTCCTGTTTCCTTTGTATGCGGCTTAATAATAATAAGCTGCGTTTACATTAAACGTATCGTCGACTCTTTGAGAAGTCAAGAAGCTATTTCATTGCAATGACATAAAATTATGTCAACATGACTAGGCCTACTGAAAAGCGGTTTTATACCATAATATGCATTTATTTGAACAACTTAAGATGTTTTTTTTTGCGAAAAGTTTTAAACGAAATCGTTATTCTTATTTTCAACAATTGTTTTTACTGTTCAAGGTAATAATATAATTTTATATGGGTTTTTTTTAAGCCGAATAGCAAACTATCCAATATACTCGTATTTTAATTTCCTTATTAAAAGCGAAATGACGAAATAAAAATTACGACTGGAGAATGACCGGTTTTTTTTAATAATTAATTTTTAAGTCCTCAGCAGTTTACTTTAGTGTCATTGTTATCTGTGAACACTTGAATTTTAAATTGGAATAACTCAAAAAGTATTAATTTAAAAAAAAAACATTATTTTACATTTAATAGTAGAATCAAATATGTAAGTTACCCAAATCGCCCTTTAAACAACACTTTAAGTAATATTTTTAGCTTAAACAGTAAAAAATATATTTTGATAATTTACTTTAATAAACATTTAGGTTTTAGACATTTTTTAGCATAAATAATTATTTCATAAAACAATAATTATTACTGAGGGATGAAATTTTGATCGCTCTGTATAATCATTGATTTTTTTTCGTTTACATTTTAATATATTTTTTGAACCCTGCATTGAACCGTCTATGGTCGTCGTACTATTGTTCAGAGCCTAGTAAGAATCCGACGGCTACACAAAACAGGGATTTGGATATTTACAATTGCAACTCGAGCATCACTAGTCCGTTATTGTGTGAGATCATTATCGTTTATACCGAGGGGAGAGTGGGGAGGGCAAAAAGAACTTGACGTTTTGTAGGTATGCATTGTGTCAAACTGAAAAGGATACATCGGTATATGTATTCATCTAGGACTTTTCTTTTTTGCAAGAGACGTATCATGCAATTTAAAATATACCCACGTTGAATACATCAATAATTACAATATTTAAAATTTGTACATAAAATACAAAAATAAAATGCATAGGTAATTACTTTAGTAATTTTTAAATCAGTAGTCACATAATACTTTACCATGCCAGCCTCATTCTGTTTACTGTTTTGTTTCTATTGACAGCCCTTCAAACGTATGACAAACTTGTGTGTTATTAAAAAAGTTATCAAGGTCCCTTAAACTATATTGAACGTATCACGTGTGCAATTATATATTATGTTAAAAAAGGCAACAGCAACCTGAAACGCCCTGTTACCTAAAAAGCTGGGGGTCGCAATAACAAAAATGTTATGAAGCAAGCCAAAAGGCGAGCTGCAGTGTGACCAGATTTCTTGATTTCTTCGTTGCTGAGTGCAAGGCATTGTAATATGATGTTACAGCTCTATTTATATTTTTACTCTATAGTCTAGATTCAAACTCATTAGCATTGAGTATGTATAGTATCTATACAGAATGTTATTAGTTATTTTTATATAACATTATGTTTTGGTATAGACTAGTAATACAACTTTTGATCTATAGAGTTGCTAAAGTCGGTTCATCGGTTTAGAAGATTTCCAGACACAAAAAACACATTATCAATACCTTATCAGCTACGATTTTATTATAATTATTATTATACACACCCAACTGTCATGCCTAATCATCTGGGTCTGTATAATAATAATTATAATAAGATCGTACGAGCTTGACATAACGGCTAATTTTAATTAGTTACCTATTTACTTAGACTCTTAAATTAGCGCATAGATTAAAAATACTATAGTATACATTTTAATGTATGGTATTAGCCGATTCCTGCGTCGGTATAATAACAATCTAGCCCGGTGGTTGTATTTTTTCAACAATAACAATATAATTACATGTATATAACATCGTTATTTTTATCATCTACCGACCGTATCGCGATCAAATATAATAAAATATGTAACGTTGAGTGTACCTACACAAAAGATTGATCACCGTCTTGGCCGGCCAAGCTGTACGACTTTGGGAGCATTGCACGCGTGACGCATACAATATGGTCATTGTGCGAGAAATCATTATAATATATTACTATTATATTTTCAAGTGTTGTTATTATTATTATTATTATATGTATTTATCTATAATAACCCGGCGATGATAATGATAACTGCACGACCGGCAGCAGAAGCAGTTGACTGTAGAACCGGATAACCTTGACAGTGGACAGTCACAGTTCACACGCACGCACACATCTTGACGAACACACACAGATTATCGTTTTCTCTCTCCCTCTCTCTCTGTGGTAAAAGCATAATATTGAAAAATAATAGTAGTATACCTACCATTGTATACTGAAAACATCTCTCGAGTTCAGTGGGTATTCTCCGTGGCTGACGTAGTGGTGTCGAACAGCTGCCGCGTAGTCGTGCCTTTGTCGGTCGTCGTGGTTTGCCGGTGTAGTATTTTGGTTATAAATAGTTACAATATTTTATTTTCCTCGTTTTTTCATTTTTGAAAATTCATTTCCGAAAACAATCTCTAAATCATGTTCAGCGGAAAATGTACGAGCAAAGCCAGGCTGGACGGCAAAATAGCCATTGTGACCGGATCGAACACGGGCATTGGCAAGATCACGGCCAAGGAGTTTTACAAAATCGGTAATGTTATTATTTTTTTTTAACGTTTTATAGTCTGGTAAGTAACGACAAATAATAACTAATTAATATTTAATAAAATCAAATATTTCGGTCAACGTTACTGATGGTTATAATTATTGTTAGTGCTGGACTGAAAAAAAGATCCTTATAACGTCCTAAGCCGGCCAAAAGCGACTTTGTCAAATGCCGGCCGGTTTAACCATGGTAACCTTGATAACGTTGTTTTGATATCATGTTTATTATTATCCACAGATTTGTATTATAATAAACTAGATAGCTAATTAGTGATAAGACATAAGTCGACGCGACGTCTGCCATTTTTGAGGGATTTTTGTGAGTATACAATTATTATGTATAATATAATATATTATATTATATATCTGTGATTCTGGGATATCAACTAAACTTGTAATTATTATAAACATAATCTTTTCATGTGATAAGGCACAAAGATGGCGGAAAATGGCAACTTAAATTATCTCTATTGGCGGAATGTACACTTGGAGCAATCTAGTTTATTGTACTAGGTGATTGGTTAAATATGGACCAGTCAATAACTTAAAAGATATTAGACTTTTTTTTATAATTTTATAGTTATTAGTTGGGACACATTAAATATATTTTTTAGAATTATAACTCCGTCCCTTATATGTTAAAATCTTATAAATTTGAGTTTTTTAAATATTGACGTACATATTTGATTTTGTAAATACATGTCCCATTAGGTATATTAAGCTTGGTAGTGCACAATAATAATCAATAATAGTTGTTCTAGACAACAAGCCCCTTGTTGCACTTAAGACCTGTTGATAACCAATGTCTTATGCCTAAGAGTCTGTTCAAAATTTAAGTAACACTTTTTAGTGATATCAAAATCCGTCCCTAGGGCCGTATTTCTCGTTAGACAAGTGAGGCATGAGCCTAAAATTTAAAGAGGTCTTATTTCAATTGCACACTTTTCATATGAAATAGCGAAAAAAGTTTTTCCTTATTTTAGAAACAATACAAAATTCTAATATAAAACACAAAAATAAAAAATATTAGGTAGTGTAGTATAAATTGTATTACCACGTATAACTAATGCAAGTTTTAAGTATACCAGGACAGTATTATTCAAAATTTTAAGTTGCGATGTTTCTTATTGTATGATAATACAAGACAAATTGGTATCATCACATAAAATGTTGAGGAATGTGTGGTAAAACATATTATTCAAGATTTTTAAATTATGTTTCTCCTTAAAAAAGGAACTCATTTTTTATAAGAAAACGATGTGTTATTTCTAAAATGACATTAATTTAAACGTGTAGCTACGCAGAAAACCGTTTGTTTCGTTCATATAATATTGAAACCCTTAAAATCTTGTTTATCTGAAATTTGTATCGTAGTATAGTTTATTTAATTATTTTTAAATTAATGTTATTGTACAATACCCGCTTTTGTTAATTATCAGCATGCACTTGCTACTTTAAACTACTTCACTCTAATTATATCATAAGCGCTACTACGGTGTAGCTAACAATTTTTAAGTGTTGAAAAAAAAAATAGAAGTGTCGTCATACACTTTAAAAATAATTTTTAAAAAAAATGGATTTGCCTGTCTATAGTTAAGTAAAGTTAACCGTGTTAGTTCAGTATAATAATAGATAAGCTACATTTTGCACTGTAAATTAATCAATAGTACGGTCAAAAGACAACCACTCAAATGGTTGGCGCCCTCGTTTATCGACGTTGTCATTTTTTTTTTACTACTTTATGTCAGAAGACCATTGAAGCGTGATAAATCAAGGTTTTAGGATACAAACGTTCGGAGACCCTACGACAGTAGAATAAATAAACTAAAAGCAATATCCTTGTTGATCATATTATTGAATAAAAAAAAAACGTCATGTGATAAAAAAATTACTGTAGTATAGTATTTTTACTACACTGTAATATACTTATCTACAATATTAAATTTGAATATATTACACCTAGAACGGAGAAAAATACTTTTATCTCGAGTAGTAGTGGTATGATATACAATATTCGTAAAAATTAGTATTTTTTCCTTCAAATTGTATGCTGGAGGGTTTAGATTTAATTATACTCGTACGTCATAAAATTAAATTGTTACAAGTAATGAATTTTTTCAACTTAAAAATAGTTTTAAAAAAATACCTCTATCCTCTCCTAACACTGACAAGTTTTACGTGTAGTCTCGCGATAATAATATTTGCTCTCGGCTTTATAATATCTCCCAAGACGGAATTTGAAGTATTATATTTTGTTACCTACGTTCTAAAAAACAGCACAATAGTATATAATAATTCAATTTCATAACTAAATTTTTACATGAAATAAAACATAATAGTTTGAATTACATATTATTTTCTTAACCTTTAGTGTCACTAACATTAAAAACACAATGAGCTATCATGTTTTTTCAATGCAAAATATTTGGTGGTGGTGTTATTTTAAGTATATTTTATGTCTAATATTAAGTATCGTTTATTATTTTTTGTTTAAATATTTATTTAATCCTCCCGTATAATATCCGTTTCAATGTTGACTGTAATAATATGTTTCCGATGTAGGAAACATATTATTACAGTCAACATTGAAACGGATAATCTGTTTGGGATTGAACGAATATTAAAAAAAAAACAATTGAAATGACATTCTAAATATAATAACACATCCTTTCTAACAAATTATTATGTAACACGTTCGACTCATTGTAGTATTACAGTGCACCTTTGGTTAAAGTCGAAACAATACCAACTATATTATAAAATCCTTAATGCGCACATTTGAGCCCGAGTCATAATTCATCCGGAACAAAGTTTTGAAAAATTGTTGTATTAACAGTTTTTAAAAGCGTCCAGATTAAAAAAAAAAACCTGAAAACTTTTACAAAACAAACCCTCGCACAAACATCATAATGTATGGCTGTTCGTGAAAAAAAAACCCCCATATGTAGAAAAACATAATAACGAAATAGATAAATTATGGCGCATTTTTTTTCGGTTGTAGTAATTTTGGTATGGGAATTTTCACTCAATGAAAATTTATATGTTAGCTTTGGAAATCCATGAATTTACATCAGTTCTTCCAAATTTCAGGCGCAAAAGTCATAATGGCTTGTCGGGACACGAAAAAAGCCGAACAAGCCGTTACGGATATAGTGGCTAATGTGAAAGGCGAAAACCTGGGTCAGTTGGTCGTCGAAGAACTCAACCTGTCGTCGTTCGCATCGATTAAACGTTGCGCAAAAAACATTTTAGAAAAGGAATCGAAAATTCACCTTCTCGTTAATAACGCCGGTAAGTACGTTTGTTGTATAAGTGTTCTATGAGTCTTAGCGACATATTATGCAAAAGTTATTTTCTCCGCTTCACGGAAAAACATTGAACTATGAATATGTTATCACTTATCATTTATCTCTTATCACTCATTGTTTATCTCTAATATTTTATGCCTACCTTAAAGCGAAAGCGTATTTATATTTTATTCATCTGCTCACGGTGTGTTACCTCGAAAAGAACCATCCGATGTAGGACACTCGTTTTCTCAGAATATTATGTTAACATGTTTTTCAATACCTTGGAAATTGTTATCTATTCATCCCTTATACAAGTAAAACAAGTATAGACTTTGTTTTATTATCAAATGGGAACATGTGTTTTTTTTAAATTTCATCAATTTTGTTCGTTTACAAAAAGAGAAAACGAAAGTCTTACCTCACATGGGTCATCCTGTACATTTTTTTTAGTGCGGATTAACAAAGCTTGAAAAATCATAGGAAAACGTCAACGGACGAATCCAAAAATCATGATAATAATATTTGAGCTTTTTTTTACGCAGGAATAATGATGTGCCCGAAAAGCAAGACGGAAGACGGGTTCGAGACTCAGTTCGGAGTAAACCATTTGGGACACTTTTTGTTCACTTCACTCTTATTGCCAAGAATCCGAAGTTCGGCACCGGCCCGAATCATCAACGTGTCTTCTAGAGCCCACTTGAGTGAGTTTGTGAATATTAGTTCAAATCTGTGAAATTGGTTCACATTTTGTTTGTTTGTTGTAAAAAAACATTGTGCGCAAATTTAAATGATCAAATTGATCTTTGGAAATATCAAACAAGGTAAAAGAAATCGGAGGTATAAAAAAATTGTATTAATGGAGGAAGAGACGTGGACAAAAAAGTTTGGAGAAGTCTACTTGTGTGTTGCAAGACAATCACGAACCACTTTTTGAATTAATTCTAAACCGATTTAGGCAATTAATTCAATTCAATAAAATATTATTTTTATAAAAGCTTACAAAATTCATACAAAAATTGAAGCAAAACACGGTCAGTGTTATTCAGTTCCTATTCGACAGGGCAGTGAGCCACACAGTGGGTAAAAGTTAACTGAATAACTTGTAAAAATAAATAAAAATTGTTTTGATTAGGTCCTACTAGGATTAAAACCCACTAAATAACTAGTACTCCGATAATAAAACAAGCTAATGCAGGTTTATTTACAATCAGAATAAAACGTTCGACAGTGATGAGGAAAAAACTTAAGTAAAATGTATGGTTTAGGTTTAGGCGCTCCCCCTCTCCATTGTGTAGTATGTGCACTGTTCGGTAACAACTTGGATTTTCGATTTTTAGGAGGAACGATCAATTTCGAAGACATAAACTTTGACAAAAGCTATTCCGCCATGAACGCGTACAGCCAGAGTAAATTGGCCAACGTGTTATTTTCAAACGAGCTGGCCTCTCGACTTAAAGGTAAATAGAAAAAAAGATTTGCCATAGCCCATTATGTATATTTTCTACACAAGAATCGTTTTAACATCTTCCAGACACTGGAGTGAACGTGTACAGTCTACATCCGGGAATCGTAGAAACCGAACTGGGCAGGACCGTGGACGATGTGTATTTCCCCGGCACGAAATTCCTTGTAAAACTGTTTCTGTATCCGTTTATCAAAACACCCGACCAAGGTGCCCAGACAACATTGCATTGTGCTATAGACGAAAAGGCCGGCCAAGAAACAGGTCTCTACTACAGGTAAGAAGCGCAGTTCCAATAGGCAGGCGAAGTCGTCAATAGAAAATAGATTATACCAGTCGAGTTCACACAGGGAATGGCTATAGTAGTTTGTCTGCCCAGACTTAAAAAAAAAAAAAAAAAACTATAATATTTCAAGATTAGAGGTAAAATTGATTTTATCGTAAAGACTTTTTTTTCTTGTATGTGGTGGTCATACTGGCTTTTATCTCTTATGTTTACTTCCCTATAGCATTAATTCAAAAATATACTTTGAATCCAAATCATACTAACCACATCTACTATCGAGGCTAAATTCAGTCCGTTTTGTGGTGTACTGATAACAGTTTCGGATTCGCCGTCAAAGACTTTTAAAAGAAATATAGACTATTATCTGTTATTTTTATCTATAGAATTTTTTAATCAAGACAATCCGTCACCTTCTCAGATGAGCAATATTACAACTCGGATTAACCTAAAATAAAGTTACCCAATTTTAGACATCTACTAAATGAATTTCACTAGCAACTATTTTCATAAAACGTATTTTATTTTTTAGATTGACATCTATAATAAAACATTTTTTAAGTTCCTAACGAGTTGTGATAAAATTGAATGTATCTTGGACTATGATCAACCTAAAAATCCAATTTAAGTTTTATTTGGTAAACAAGGACAATTAAATACGTTGCTTTTGTCAAAATAATCTATCAATTGAAATCAGCTTAAATACTATATTGTGAAAAAGAGTGAATAATTATTAACCGACTTTTCGAGAAGTAAATCAATAATTATATTTCCAACATAAAGTTAAATCAAACTGATTAGAATTTCAATAGGTAGACTCGGAAGAGGATCCTCTCAATTACTAGTTGTAGTCGGTAGTTAACTATTGTTTGAGCCTTGTTTTAGAACCGGTCAGTATCAGTCGTCTGAGGGGGGGAGTGGGCTATAGGGACTAAGAGAAGCCTTTCCCTTATGTACTTAAATTGTATGCATTAAAAAGGTATTCTTGTGTTAATTTTTTTATAATATGTATTTTTTTTTACTATGTAAGCTTTAACTGTATGACTATAATTGCTCGTATGTATTTGAAGTGAATTTTTTTTCTAACCCTTCCCCCTTTTTTTATCCCTAGATCCGCCACTGAAAATATCCTATTATGTAGTTTCTATATTGTATTTTACTGTACCTCTCCTCAAACAAGAAAGTTTTATGTGTTTATAACCGTTTCAAGTGCAACAATAGTGTAACACCTTCCATTGGTGTTGTCTCGTGTTTACTTAAGGCTATTGTGATTTCCGATTATCTGATATAATATGTTTCAATATTTTCATGTACTTTAGCGATTGCAAAGTAAAAGATACATCCGCCTTAGCCAAAGATACCGAACTGGCCAAGAAACTTTGGGATAAGAGCGTCGAGATGGTCGGCATAAGTGGATACGATATGTTCAACACAGCAGGCGATGCCATTCCAGAACCGTTAAAGAACCTTTGAACACACAGTTTCTAAGAATACCTTTTATTTGTTTATTATTTTTATACCTAAATTTTTTTATTTCATCATACTCATGCATTATTAAATGTACTATTAACGGTATAATTGGCCACCATTTTTGTTTTAAAGATTTACTAGAATACAATACGTAAATTTGTTAATTTTAATTAAATACATTATATTTTACTAATTGAATAATAACAACAATATGTCTATTGATTAATATTAGGAGAAATACTCTTACTAGAATAAATTCTATAACTATGTCTGTGATGTTTGGGATAAGTGAAAAAATGTAATTTTGCGGTTATTAGCTTAAAATATTTTTTTTAAAAATTGTCTACGTTTGGGCATAATTGGATTAAACTATACTGAAGTTATTTAGTTTGCCCAAAAGACGATAAGTCGCTTATTGTGTACACATACTTTAAGTCTGTGCAAAACGAGTCAAGTTGACTTGTCCCTTTATACACAAAAAATACAATTGACAAATGTGATATTGGTTAAATTCAATAAAAATTATAATTGTTCTCTGCCATAGTAATATAGTTTAAAAATAAGTTAAATAATTAGTATGTTTTGTTCCAATATAAATTGGACCCAAACAATTTTCTCAGTAAATTCTATTTACATTTTCTCAAAAGAAAAAAGTTTTAACTTATGCATCATTACTCAAACACCACAGATAGAATATATTAATATAAAATATTTTCAAAACATTGCCAAATTCTACGTTATTTTGTTGTTGGGACGGCCGCTCAACTCATTTATAACAACTTTTAAAATAAGTAAAATTAAATTAGATCATAACTTCGGAGGATATACCTTTTAATATACACTTAATGTAGTATACACTTTAAAAGTAATACAGAACAACGTTTTTCTTTGAAAAATGTATTTATTTTTAATAATTTAAATTTGTACTACACAAAGTATTTTCGGAAAATGATTTTCAGCAGTAGGTTAGTTTCAAAAGTATGGTGACAGCAAAATATAAATTTAAAATAAAGTAATATTATATTTTGTTCGTTGTCGGATAGCGACGAGTTGAACAATTAATCTCTTTTGCCAGCAATGTGACCAATTGATTTTTTTTTTTTAGAGTTAAAATAAGAATGATCGGGACTTGCTTGCTGAGTATTAAATATATTTTGTTTAACATAAGATAATGTTGGATTTTTTTATCGTTGCTGCCACATTACGTTAATAGGCGATTAAATGAATTGAATATTTAACAGAATGTTTATAATATTTTCAAAATATCTTTACATATTTTATAAAATAAAATAGGCTTTTAAAATAAGTTAGTCATATTATGTAGGTTCGTAAGTTATTTTTAAAACATCAAACAAAAATATCAACAAAGCGTTTTGGGAAATATCTTTATTTTTTCTACCTAGTGCTTTGTGGGGTTTGGGTTTAAACTAGTCTAATAATCCCAAACGATAATATACTTTCAAACTAATGAGTAATGTGGTTTGTTGTCTTTGCCTTTCGGAAATTTCTTTCTTTTTTTTTATGGGTTCTATTAAAATATTATTATTGTTATGCTTCTAAATGTATGAAAAAATTGGAAGCCGAGCACTTATCGTTTACAGACTTGCATGAACAGCATGATTTTTTTTTTTATATAATATTATTCTCGTTAAATAAAGTATTAAATTTCTAATGATAAAATCATTTATCCACGTCACGGTGACACGTTTGTAATTTCAATGCAACCCACGAACATGTGTTGCAATATTATTAAATATACACAATGCACATTTCGGTTTAAATAAAATATACATCAAAATTTGTAATAATAATAATAATAATACAGGCCATGCCGTTGTCGTTTGTTCGATAAAAAAAAACCTATATTTTGAACGTATTCAAGAACGGATAAGCGTACCAAACTTTTTTATAAATAAAAAATATGTATTAATCCGGAACACAGAAAAAATATACATAGGTACCAACTACACTGAGGCTTTTAATTTAAAAAATAATGTACATCATTTTTTTTTTTAATAACATAAAACTGAAAATAACAGTAAGAACACATTAAAACCATATTATTCTAATAAAAAAATGATTCTAATGATGACGTTTAATACCCGAATAATAGTTGTTATCAAATAATAACTTTATGAAAGACTATCCGTTGGGTCGATTTCGCATTGCATAACCTGTAAAATAATATTGGTTCACTCGTTTATGGCCGTTATTAAAAAAAAATACACTAAAATTGTATTCCATAGTATTATTATTATCATTATTGCAGTGTAATGATATTTTTTCAGCACATTATTATAGGCGCTTCTTTCGTTATCAGTGCGCGGGACATTAAATTTCGGTATTAAAAATACAATAAAATACCATACATAAGTATTATAGTATGTACATTAACGACTTGTTACTGCAGTAACCTAAAACTTTAAAAACTCGATCGTCAAACCGTTTATTTTTTATTAAAAAAGAAGATAACTCGCAAAAATAACTGAGTAAATTCTTAAAACTATAGTAATACTTTAAAAACCAGACAATTTTATAGCAGAAGTGCTATAAAGTGTCCGGACTTTCACAAGAAAAAAACGCTACTTAATGGTATTATAAGTATTAAATATTTTTACAATATAAAGCTATTTACCTAAGTTGCAACGATGGATAGTAATTAATAGTCAAAGTTAAGCGTTTTTTTTAATATTCATCCAAACATTTAATATGTATACAGCTTTATATTGTAATAATATTTATGCGATCTTTTAAATAGCGTTTTTTTTTTAAAATCCGGTTAGGTTGACATTGACATTGAAAAAACATTTAAAAAAGTCTCCTAGATGAGTTGGGAACTTTTTTTTAATTTTATTATTTTAAGCGCGTCCGGAAGTTAAACTGCAGGTAGATATAAAGTGGGCATTTAATAATATGTTATAAAATTTCTCAAAAATCTGTCTTAAAAAATCTCTTGAAATGTCTAGAAAATATCTTGTATAATATTGTTAAAATATAGAATGTCTAAAGTTTCAAAAATAAAAAAACCATGTTCGTTTCGATAGTTAATCGAAAAAAAACAATACTTACAGTAATGTTGTTTTCGAGGAAATAAAAAATTAATTCTCTCCGCGAAGGGCTATGACGATGATGATGTGTTATTTTAACATAATAATATTATGGAAAGGTTTGAAAACTGTAAAATATATATTACTTTGCTTTTTAGATTGATTTTTGTGGCTTATTTTTTTTTTCACTTTCACCGGTGTATGTACCTAATCAAAGGGTCGATACTGAAATTAAATTTCAAGTTTACATCATACCTGTTCACCTGTGTTGGACATTTTGCAATATTACACGGTATTGGGTTGTATAAAATAAAAAGGTGAGTATGTATAGTGTAGAATACCGCGAAGGACTGGCGGTTAGGCATTTTCGCTTTGGCCTTTGCGACTTAAGCCGGTGGTAAATAATTTTCACCGACTACCCTCTCGGTTAACGCTATCTAGCGACGGAAACGGCGAGCCGACGAATCGATGGTCGTGCCCCTTCATCAGTGTACGGGCGGCCAACAAAAGTGCACGGATGTGTTGTGTCGAGTTGCTCTTGTAAAAAACCGTCGATCTCTCGGCGATATTATCCTGACGAGCAAAAGGAAATAAACAAAAACATCTACTCGAACACACGGCCAACAATAAAATGGTAAGTCAAATTGTTCATAAAATAAAATTTATATTAACTCGAAAAAAAAATAATAAGGGTTTTCTTTCCTAAAAATGTCACCCCCCCCCCCCGTAATATTATAATATCGTCTCAATTTTCCAAACCAGCCATAAGCAATTTTTGAAATTTTATAAAAAAAACTACGAAAATAAGGTTATCAAAGCTCGAACGTTGTACACGAACATTTGGTTTAAAAAAATAACGTTACAAGAGTACCTAATTAAATAGATTTATAATTTGGATACAGCCGGTTTTGTTGTCAACTTCTCGTCCTATGCGGCTGTTTTTGAAACCGACAATTTACATTTTCTTTCACATAATATTATGGCTGGTTTTAAAATTGACACTACGATATAGGCGATTTGGAAACAAACATTGAATATACATATTAGAACCATTGATTATGTCTAGTTTTGAAGTAAACAAATGGGCGATTTTGAAACCGATCACAATTTTATATTAACAGTTTACATCAGTTATAACCTTGTTTGATGTTCAATATTTTTTATAAACCATGTAATACTACAGTGTGACCATTTAAGAAGTACAAAAACCCCCGTTTTGAAAAATTGGTATTTTAGCTGGTTTTGGAACTAGATTGCCTCAATTCTCGCCAATACCTTAATGTTTGATTAAAACTTTAAAAAAACTCTGCCCTTTCGGCAGGGCGAGGGGGTTTCTTTCTCCCCCCCCCCAACCTGCACTTCTAGTGGAGTATATAATATGTAAAACATAGAGAATATGTATATTTTGCTTATGCCTTCCGCTCAAAGTCCATTAGTATGATTTCTGGCACCGAGTACTATCTTTTTTGTGCTTTTTCATATGCTGTACGTTAGTAATGTTAGATTAAGACTAATCTTGCGGACCGGCTCGCTGCAAAAGCATTCTAGTGAATGCATTTATCAGGATATCAGACAGGGTTAACAGTTTTCCTAACTGATACAAATCTAACCTAACCTTACCTATGTAATCAGAATCTATCTCGAATCTAACCTAACACTTATATTTTTTTTAAATTTTGTGACGCTCGTCGGTATAATGGTCATCGGTAAAGCATATTAATAATATTCTGTGCTAAAATTTTAAAATTGTATTATCGCATGGTTGCCAGTACGGATTCGTCAACTACGCTTTGGAACTGTTGGTGCTGAAGACATTCGGCGAGGAGACATGGGAGCGAATCAAGTAAGCGATTGTGTTCAGATTTCGGTTTTACAAGTATCGTTAATGTAATCACAAACGACGATTGCAGAAAAGAAGCGGAGGTCACCATGGACGGACAGTTTTTGGTCAGGCAAATCTACGACGACGAGATCACCTATAACTTGGTGTCGTCGGCCGCGGAAATTCTAAGTAAATATTATCATGTAGTCCATCTAGACACCTTGCACTTGTCTGGTAAGGTCTCTATGTGGTGCTAAGTCTTAGAATTGGAAATTAGAGGTCTCAAAATCAACGCGAGGGGGCGCTCAAAATTCTCGACCCTCATTCTCTACTCCTTCATAATAAAATACAAACTACTAATAACGATTAAGCTGGACTGGTGAGAAGTGACATATTTAAGCGTGGCCAACTAATAAATATTTACAATTCGGTCAATGCACCAAAAACGATAAAATATTACTGGAAATAAACGAGTACAGCCGATTAATGTGTCAAATCACTAGGTTACTTTTCTGTTGCACGTTATATTTGTACTGCCTACATAGCATAATAATAATAACCATGTGCAATCCAAACGACGATGTTCGCAGACAAAACAATTGCATAACATTCCAAATCTCATTAAACTTTGATTAATTTCCACGACCAACAACGATCAACCATAATAATAATAATAATAATTAACGTTTGGCGTTCTGCAGAAGGTGTGTACATACACATTTCGGAAACACTTAACTGTACCTTAATATGTTAAGCAAACGCAGTGTGTGGGTCACAAGGATTTAACAGATTTACATATATTATAAATATACCAGATCCTTGTAACCCCCCACATGGCTGTATGTAATGAAAAATAAACAGAAAACGTACCTACTACAAACGCATTTATCGGATTATTGTATTTCACTCACCTCGTTTAAAAACGTGCTTGTGTACTTAATTTGAGTAGAATTTCTAAAAAAAAAAACAAAACAAATACGAAACAAAATAATATGGACTTTTCTTATGAAAAGAAAGAATTTTTTTTTTTATTAGTTAAAGATTTTCTTTTTTGTATAAAAAAAAATGGTAGACGTGATACAAAATAAACATTGGACCAACAGTTAATATTATAAGTGACGCAATACAAAATAATGTACTTGAGATTATAAAACTCTATTATTTAAAAATAATAAAGACGCATTATTACAATATAATCAACTTCAACTGACAACTGTATTTAAGACAATTAAACGTTGTATAACTGCTATAACATGGCATTGTTTTTTTTTTAACAACAATTACTGTGAAATCAATTAATACATGCTCAAGAGAACACTGTGGTGGTACACCTTTGTGATAAGGCAATATGGTTCTTATCAATTTGCTGTTATCAATGTTAACAATAACCGAGTTTGCAAGAATTAGATAAATCAACGTTAAATTAAACTGAATACTTAGTAGTTAAATCGATCAAAATACTATTAAGTATTAACATTTGAAAGTGAGTAAAATTACCATAATAAAAAAAACCGATTTTTTAAATTAAATTTAATCGATTTTAAAATCAAGTGGTTTTTTTTTTGCTAAACCAATTATTCAATCGTCTTTAAATTAAGAACGGGTGTTTTTCTTTAATGTTCCGTTTTGGATGTTTACATAATAAATAATTGATATTTTAATCACTTCAGATCCGTTAAAAAATAAATTATTTTAAATAGTCTGGCTGAGATTAACCTTTCTAATTAGTAATTTTTTTAAATCCCGGCCTGTCAACGAGCAAAATGGATAAAATATTTAATAAATTTAACTACTCATTTTGTTTATTTTAAAAGAGTGTCTAATAATTATTAGCATATGCACTAAATAGTAATGACAAATAGAAGATTTCCAAGTTAAGTACATTTTTTTATTATTATTAATTGTCATATACAGGGTGATTCATTAAAGACAAGACTCATTTTTTCTCAGAAAAATTGCAATTTTGTAGTTTTTCTTTTTGAACACCTTTTTGTTTATGTTATTCTTACAATAATAGACAATATTCAAATTTGTACCTAATAAGTCTCCATAAAGAATAACTACAAAATTGCAATTATTTTTTTAGAATATGAGTGTCTTGTCCTTCTTAATGAATATTTTATACTAAATCGAAACATTAGAAATATTTTCTCGCGATTATAGTGGATTTTCGCAGGAACTGCACTACCAACACACAAATCGTTTTTTACGATTATTATATTATAAACGCGGTTGATTATGATTAAATTTGTAACCTTCGAAATGCTTTTGTGTGGCTTATGAGATTATATATCTTAATTTTAAACGGCGACGCGCTTTCTCGTTTTACAACTCCGCCGTTGGCACAACCACAGCTGTTGTGGTGTATTGTTAATAATATTTTATGGAAACCGTTGCTATTTTCCAGAGCTGCCAGCCAACAGCATACTGGAGCTGTTTGGCAAAATGTTTTTCGAGTTCTGCCAAGATTCCGGTTATGATAAAATCCTACAGGTGTTGGGAGCAACACCCCGGGATTTCCTTCAAGTAACCCCCGTTTTGGTAACCCTTTCGTTATTGGTTTTTAGTAGTAATCGTTTCAATATTTTTCCAAGCAGAATCTGGACGCCCTGCACGACCATTTGGGAACACTGTACCCAGGAATGAAAGCTCCGTCGTTTCGGTGCACCGAAAGACCCGAAGACGGCGCCCTAGTCCTGCACTACTATTCGGACAGGCCCGGGCTCGAGTACATAGTCATCGGCATCGTCAAGGTACATCATATTATACGCCCAGCATATTAATATCCAACAATATTCAGCTGGGAAATTCTAACGTCTACTATCACTTACTTCTGTTTATCATTTCCAGACCGTGGCCAGTAAACTGCACAACACCGAAGTAGAAGTGGAAATTTTGCAAACCAAAGAACAATGCGATCACGTTCAGTTTTTAATAACCGAGAAAAACACGGCGGGCCAGCGCCAAAACGACCAGACCGCAGAAGTGGAAACGCTATCGCAAGGTCATCACCGTAACTGTATACACTTTGTTTAATAATAATAATAATAATGTGTACAAAATTGGTTTAGGTTCAACTTGTATTTCTGCTACACGGGAAAGTGTTTTACCATTATAGGGCTAATTTTTTTTTATCAAGGATGTTTTTAGAGTACACAAGTCATTTCATTATATAACGCAAAAAAAAATTACACATTTTACGCACGACCGGTTTTTCTTAATGGAACGGGCTAATGGGTTTTCTGAAGAAAAATACTAAGTCCTTATGTATGGGCGGTTGGATTAATGTTCGGCAAATCAACATGGCGAGCCGACCAAAGCCGCTGTGTTAATAGCTAAATAATTAAACAGATGATTAACGGCCATTTACCACGGGCATAATATTTAAATGAACAATACGGATCATGGCGTAAGCTTAACTTTATAAGATCAAGACGGTCTGACCTTAATATTAATTATTGTGCAGCCGTAATGAGTTAGACCGCTTATCTAGCCGAACCGGTATTTGGTTTCGGTCACCTTATCCAACCGGGTCAATGGGTTAGAGGTATTCACTGGTGAGCTAATAAATACTTGAGATGTTTATAAGTTACATGATATTCCGATGATGGGTTAATCATAATGCAACAGCTGTCGAATGGCGAATATCAGATGATAAAGAATAGTTTGTTGATAAAAAAATAAGTGTTGACTGATGACAAATGAATTAATTGTTTATAAATTATTGGAGAGAGGAAAATAGGGGAGAGTTTTCACAGATGGGGGCAGATTCATAAAAAAATCCTATTTTTTGAACCTTTAACGGCAATGTTTGTATTCCGTTGCCTTTTTAAATCAAGAATGACTTACTAAAAAGGTCGACTGATCGATAACCAGTTTTGAGCGTTTACTATTTTTTAGTACCTAAACTCTAAACTACTAATGCATTTTAATAACAGAACTATTATTCCGGTACATCGAAAAACCCGCTAATCCTAACAGCGAATCCGTTAGTTCCGTTTTCTTTTACAAATTAAAAAAGTAGTGAAAAACAATTTAAAAAAATTGTTTTTGTCCAGAAAAAAAATTCATTATTACATAAATGAATTGTTGCTCAATATAAAAATGATAACCTAAGAGGATTAAATTTAATATTATGTAGATCACTATAATATAAATTAATTAACTGATAATACTATAAACCAATTTATAGTATTAATTAAATGCTTCTGAATTTTGTAAGGCTGAATTATTTTATATTTTATGTATTTGATTGCAAAAATCTTATTTTTGGGGGTTTTATCATTTCTTGGACGTTTTTGTAATAAAATTACAAATACCTTATATCTAGAAAACTGTTTTTTTTTTAAATCCCATTTTTTTAGGATTTGGCGAAAGAATCATTAGGTTTAATGCAGATATATACATTAAGTGGGAAATGGATAACCTATTCATTTGTTTGCTTATGTAAGACAAAATTTGTCGAATTTTATTTAAAAGTTAGGCTAATTATCGCTTAAGTAATTAAAAAAAAAAAAAACTAACTGGCCAAGAGTTATTAAATCCGAAATCGGCCTATTCCAAACCGATAACTTTTACGTGGGCGGTTTTATTATTCAACTCGAGTAATTACTTCAGTAGTAAATTATACTTACATTTATTATTCATATCGTCAACGCTTGCTTGAAGAATATATCTCACAATCATATTATAACGATTACTCTTTCTCTTAAACGATTGCGGCTGTCATCCTCGATGACGACACGTGTACCAATTATTTAGTTATGCCGTTCCTGTGTGTTGGCTATTGTTTCGACAGGGCTTGTCTATATTTAGAGTGTTGCGAAACGCGGTGAAAATAAAAATCATGCAATACCAATACACACCTAATGATAACCCGACGGGCGAAGACGTGTGTGTGTGTGTGTCTACAATTTATTACAATAATAAAAATAGTTTATGTATATTTTTTTTAGAACCGAAAATCAGCCCGGCCACGTTCTGCCACGTGTTCCCGTTTCATCTGATGTTCGACAGAGACTTGAACGTCCTTCAAACCGGTTGCACTATAGCCAGAGTAATACCATCGGTACAGGGGCCGGCGCCTTGCAAACTAACACACATACTATACCCCGTAGGTGTAAAACGCCACTTGAGCACGTCCAGTGGTTTCATGTATTACTGTACAGGACGATCCACCAGATGTAAGACACTCGTTTTCTCTGTCAAGTATGCATATTTTGAAAATTATTTTCTTTCTATACCTGTAGGTATATATTAACATATTATGCTATTGGGCTGGATACCAGAACTTTCATATCGCCATTTTTTTACGTTATTCAATACTTATACTTATTGTTTACCTTCATCCGTTATACATAATAGAATTATGGACTTGTTTTTTCAAACGGGAACATATGTTTTTAACTCTATACATATTATGTAGGCAAACCGTTTTGAAAAATGTTATAGCCTTTGAATTTTTAACTATCATCAATCCGTTTGTTTGCTATGACTTGTTGAAGATTCGATTTTTAGATCAATATTCGTTCGGTTTTTACAACAGTAGCACAGCAATTTCCTATTAAACAATAATATTGACCCCCGTCGATAACACTGTCACTGTGTTTGAATAGGTAAATAAGAACCGCTGGTCTATAATTTTCTCAAAACACAAATAAGAATTTTATGGTCTACTGGATTTTGAAAGTATGGAGAAATGTAATATCTTTGCAGTCATAGCAAACCATCATATTGATGAAAATTAAGAATTCAAACGCTAACATTTTTTTATATTTTTCTATATATTTATGGAATTAAAAACATATGTTCCCATTTGTAAAAACCAAGTCCATACTTCTCTTTACGTAAAAAGGATAAAGGTAAAAATGTTCTAAGTATTATATTCATAATTTCCTAGAAAACGAATGTCTTAAATCGGATGGATCATACACTCTATGTACAATTATTATTATATTATATTAGTATTATTATTATTATTGACTTGTACCGCAGGTAAGACCTCATTTGGAATTGACGTTCGACAACATTCTGGCTCACATCAACACCGTTTATGTTCTGAACACGAAACCTGGTATCATGGATGTCGACTCCGGCGATAGTTGTCCAATATCATTGCGTCTCAAAGTAAAAATAAAAATTAATGAATTACTATAATTATTATAAAAATTAAATCACCACGACGACCTACCGTTATAAACCGGAGGAACCAAACCAGGCCGGGGGTGGCTATAGTGGTTATAACGTGAAGCAAACAGAAAGGCTAAAGTCATCTGGCCAGTTAGAAGAAACACATTTCCGTTCAATACAATATCGTGGTGATAAGATATCAAATGACAAATAATTTTTTTGTTGAAAAAAACGATAATATTATAAGATAAGATATAATAACATATTTTTTATCATATTATATACAGTACCAACCGCACGACAATGAAGAAAAATATGTTGTGTGGTCATACTGATTTTAGTACTTTTGTACTTCGCTATCGCTTAAGAGCTAAACGATAAATCCGCATATGCTATTTAGACAGATCCCGTTTATCGTAGGGACACAGAAGTGATGGTAGATGTTAGGACCCAATTAAAAGCCCTAAATTTCCCTTTACACATGTGTTTGGGCTGGATACAAGAGATTTCATGTAGCCACTTACGCGTTACACTTTCACTTTCAGTTAGAGATAAGAGACGAGAGATTATAAAAATGAGGAAAGAGATAAATGATCAGTAATAAGAGATAACATATCTATGATTAAATGTTTTATATTACTCTATGACCACTCTATCCAGCCTACTAACAATGTTGTTACCATAAAATATTGTGGATTTTCAACAGGGTCAGATGTTGTACGTGCCGGAAACGGATCTCATGTTGTTCCTGTGCTATCCGAGCGTTGTCAACCTGGACGATTTGACCAAGTACCTAAACGAACTTAGTCGGTTTGATCGCAGGTCAATCTGACTACTGATGGTGATTTTGCTTTCGCAGGCGACGGCTTTACATCAGCGACATACCCTTGCACGACGCCACCAGAGATCTAGTGTTGATGTCCGAACAATTCGAAGCCGACTATCAGCTGACCAGGGACTTGGAATTTTTGACCGACAAACTCCAACAGACCTACAGGGAGTTGGAGAGCGAAAAACAAAAAACCGACAGGTATTGCGAACTTTGGTCGTTGGTCCATTGACATCCGATAAAGTGATATACTAACAACAATAAATAGGTATTCCGTGAAATGAAACGAGCCGGATTGTTTGCCCGTTAAATGTTTTTAACGGAAAACGGCAAATAAATGTACACCGTGTTTGTTTTAGTAATGACAGGTCCCGTTTTTTTGTCAACCTTATTCGAGTAACTCGATTGTGCCCGTAACACAAACAAACCAAGGCAAAAATGAGTAAATAAAAAAAAAGTTTCCATTTTAACGATTCTTTTGAAATAAATTGATGTCAAACAACGGAATAAAATGCGAACATGTTTTCGTTGGAGTCAAACCTAGCCGTAAAGTCATTTATAAAGCAATATCCTCTTTAGCACATTGGTCTGTATCTATTTTTCATTAGTTTTTCGAATGATCTTGTTGAAAAAAGTTGATGGATATCTATTGGGCAAGTCAAATAATTTCAGTACATCACTCGTTAAGTTATGCTTATTACAAAATAATCTCAATAGAAAAAAAAGTTTCTCGCAGGGTAACACTGAATATCTGATACAGCGCTTAAAAAACCTTAAATTTTTTTTTTATTCTCAACCTGATGTCTTGTCACTTGTACTCGTTTGATTTCAATCACTTAATTGTGTTGCAAAATCCCACTCGAAAAAAAAAGTTCTAACTGATATCCAAACTTAATGACGGAATTCTATTTGACAAAAAAAAAGAGAGATCCAAATACCGTGTAATTAATATTTGTCTTATAAATGAATAGTCTTGCATGTACTCAATGCACTAAGTGGCTGATATGACGAGTAAAAGTTTAATGCGCGCGTTGACACTTTCATAAACGCGTTTGCTAAACAAATATATTATATAGAGTAATCAAACTAGCACTTTCCAATATGATTTTTTTCCCTGAACCTGGAGTGTTGCATAAATACCGAATGGTTTGTTTAATAAAATTATTAAATATCAGTATATGAATACTAAGATAGTGATAGATGCAAAATGCGTATAGATTATAGACTAGATAATAAAACCTGTTTTTTTTTTAATTAACATTTTTTGTATCAATTAGTGAACATACAAACTACTACTTGTAGTCGGTTCCCTAGTACTATGATTAACAGTTATTCATTTTTAAAATCTTTTAATTAAAAACTCGTATTATCCACTATAGGTTCGGCCGTTTAAATAGGACAAAACGATTATTTTTTTTCATTAACCCAAAACAAAACGAGTGACTTGGTCAAATATGTCGATAACTCTATAAGATCGGTAAAATGTACTCGGTGTTTTTTTTTTTCCGTAAGCGAGAGCTTAACGATTTGCATTGCCGGTACTCCTAAGTGGTTTAATCCAAAACCCGGGTGTTGTAACGGTATAATTTGTCTAGTCGACTGGCGTTAGGCCAGCAACGTTTCCCGTTTTTAAAATGCTTTCCTGTTCTTCGACAGTGGTTTGGTAGGAACATTAGAGGTTAGAACTATTGGCGAGCAAAAAAAGGTATAACTTTAATTATTGTTTTCCGCAATGACATGGCATTATATGAGACTACGTTTGTACTGAAGGAGGTGATTTTTGGCAACGTTTTTCACAACTATTCCGCGATCGACTGCGTGCTAGAGATACTTTTTTTATTGAAATTATTTAATTAGTAGGCGCAAATACGACGTACCTTTACGGCTCCTCGAAACACCGGTCAACAAAGTGGGCGGAGGAACGGAAATTTACCGAATTCGCAAAACATACGATATTAGCACCGTGTTCCGCATTGATGTTGTTTCAGACTACTCTACTCGGTGCTTCCGATCAGCGTGGCGACAGAGTTACGGCACAAGCGTCCGGTTCCGCCGAAGAGATTCGAATGCGTGACACTACTGTTTTCCGGCATAGTCGGTTTCAGCGACTATTGTGCGGGTCACGCGGACTCGAAAGGGGCCATGAAAATCGTTCGGATGCTCAACCAGCTCTACACGGCTTTCGATGTGCTCACCGATCCGAAGAAGAACCCAAACGTGTACAAGGTAAGGCGCGAGAATCGCTTGAACAAACAAAGATCCCCTTACCCCCCCCCCCCCCATCACCTTTAATGTCGACGGTCGTGTAATTGGACAATTACAAGGACCTTGTGCGCTGAACCAACAGCTGTCGACCAAAACTCTGAATTAAGTTGTTACCCAGAGTTCGTATGTTCGCGTGAAAGGACTGAAAAATAATCGAAAAAGCCAAGTCCGTACTTCTGTTGCGTGTAAGGTAAAAAATGTCTAAGTATTGAGAAATTTATTACAATGGTATAATTTTCAAAACTTAATTTCGGACATTTAAAAAAAGAAAAATCAAAGTCCAATGACTAGAAATGCTCAAAATGTCGGCTAAGGCCTATGGCCACTACGAAGATCAAAAATCCTAACCACCCTGCCTTCGCTGTGCTTTTTTTATTCAAACCGCTCTCCCGAGAGCTTTGTGAGAAAGTTTCTAGCCATATTATACCAAATTATAAAAATTAGACAGACCTTAACTCATTTACAAAAGTATAAATTATTTTCGTTTAAAATGTTATCGACAAAAGCCTATGTAGACTAGACAAACTATGGACGGACACTTAGGCCCCTAAAACTGCTCAACTTCCTATATAAGTACATCTTGCTAAACACGTTTTGGTACAATAATAATGCTAAGTGTTATCGAGAAATTACCTACAATTGTATCCTTAATAATCAGGCAAATAAACGTTGACTGAGAGGAGAGTGTATTGGTCTTTGATCGACAAATAACGCTTAGGGCTAATTATGCTAATAGGTCTTAATTGAGTAAACCCAAGGGGTTCCAAATACAACCGAGAAGAGTGATGTATGAGACGTGTGGCGTGTAATTAATCTAAGAAAAGTGATCCATCTTTCCCGGTCTCTCTCGTATCCGGACTTCTATCCAGGATTGTTAAAAGTGTATTTTTCCATAGAAGAAAACGTTTTAATTATCAAAATCTGAACCTTGCACGATTTTATTTTCATAATTTGCTGATAGTAAATATCCACATTTCGGAAAAAATGTCCGTGCAATTTTGTTTAGATAATAAGTTACTTACATTTATTCTAGCACGCTAGGTATTAGCGGTAAGTTCAATGATAATTCAAATATTTTGCACGATATAAATAACGATATCATTTAATACATAATACACTTGATACATATAAGTTAGAAAGAAATTGCATGTCTGTAAAACTGTTGTCCACTAAATTTTTGTTTTTTTCTGGCCGCTTTAGAGTATATCTTTAAAAATTGGGTTGTAATAATGAAGATAACTCAAATCGAAATTGGCTTACAATTAATTTAAAGTAATTTTTTCACGTGTATTCTATATTTCAGCTGTTGTTTGTTATTTATTGGTAATTTTTTTTTATTTGCAACTCGTCAATTACATCTGACGAAACTGGTAATTAAAAAAAAATGATTCATGTTATTTACAAAAGAAATCGGTTCACGTTACGCAACGGTGCTAGATTGCATAAAAAACACACCGAGTGTTTACTTTGTAATTAATTCGGTTGATAATTATTATTATTAATTTCTAACGCATTAATTAAGCTTCGTGTAATAATATATAAGTATATATATTTGTTTAGTGTTCGTATGATAGTTTAATCTTACAATTACAGTAGTATAACGATGTGAATGGCGTAATCTTATATAATATTATTTTGGGGAATTCACACTTTTTTAACTTTTAAATTAAACGCATCATTTAAATAATAAGTAATGCCATTTTGTTGTGCACGTCTATGGAATCTCGTCAAAACTAATTTATGTATGAACACTTACTACTACAGTCAAATTTGTATTGAGTTTTTTTATGTTTTGATATCAACAATATTGAACATACATTTTTGGTCCTTCGGGCCGGATAATAACAAAAATTATCTTTAAATTTTTTCCCGTTTTTACTTATCGCGCACCATACGGGTTCAAGAAATAATTTAATTTTAGAAAGCAATAAATACAGAAATAAATTATAATATAGTATATTTTCATAAATACATCATAATATTATTCACACAGGTATCTCTAGCAGTGCACGCTTATCTTACTCCATCGAAACACATTCCATGTTGGCGTTACATATTATTTAACTAGAAATATAACATAGTGTAAGATGCAAAAACATAAATCTGTGTACCTATACGCCGAATGTCGTATAAATCACCCGTTCCCTGTATCCCTATCGTAACCTGTCTTTGAACGAAAGGCTAAGAATACTAAATATTCCGTGGACCGGAAAAGTTATTTTATTTACGATCGACTGCTTTCAAACTGTACATTACAAAATGAAACACCAGTTTTTCGCCTTGCTTCGACATTGCTCACGTGGCTATAACATCGAAATCCGAAATTAAAACCTTTACACCTTTTTGACGTTGTCGGCTAAACGAAAAATATGGAAAAGTTTTTGTCAGAAGTTTTGTAATATAATAAATTCTATTCCCGTATTGAATCCCTTTGCTGTAGAGCGTTTAAGGTGCTAGGCTTTATTGTACTTACGTCGAATTAATTCAAGTTGTTTAGTTCACTTAAAGCTGTATACTGCTCCCTTGTAAGGTTTCTTTTGGAATATGATTCCTTCCTTTGGACCCCTTGACATGTTCCTTCTAGCTCCACTAGACTCTAACTTTCCGTTTGCTGTTCCGTTTCACAGCACAAATTATGGTAGGAACTATCCTATTTATCGTATGATGTGTCCAGGCAATGAGCACCTAAGCTTTTTTTAAATACTTATGTTTATTTTTATTATTTTGTATTTTTTACATTTTTTTTTTTTTTGAGAGGAGGGGTTGTGTATTATTTAAACTTTAAGTTATTGTTAAGCTATTTCAGCTGTAATTTATCGAGTGTTGGCGTACTATTATGGTTCTATTGGGCATCAATAAAAAAACAATTAAAAAAATAGGACAATGTGGAAGAGTATCGTAACGGTAAGGGGCCTGCAATATTGTACTAATTCCCATATTTTTCTGAAATAAATTATTAGTTATTATCAATTTAAGCATTGACTGCAAGTCCTTTACATAATTCACAATAACTTACTTTAGAGAGAGAGAGGAGGACTTTTGTTAATAGAAAATGGTCAAATCGTCAAAAGGCTTATACGATTCTATAAGTCCTAAAAATAGATACCTACTAACATATGTTTAGCTTTGCATCAAGATCCAGAAAAAAAATCCACAGAACTGACATATTTTTTTATCATTTATAAACACAACATAATAATTATAACTGTTTTAAAATAACGTTTATTATTTTTCGGTACAACAAAATTGTCGATAAAAAGGTATTTTTGATTTTGATCAAGCCAATACTATAGTGAATACTTAAATTTTGACTAGGTAAAACAATTTTTTCCCTAAACAAATTCATCGCTTACTGTTGTTGTTGTTGTTGGACTTGCTTGTAACGATTGAGACACAATAACGGTTGTACGACCTTTGCCAGGTGGAAACCGTGGGCGACAAGTACATGGCGGTCAGCGGACTTCCAGAACCTTGCGAAGATCACGTCCGGTGCATTGCCCGCCTGGCCTTGGACATGATGGATCTCAGCAGCACGGTTATTGTGGACGGCGTACCTGTGGTGAGTGCATTTGATTATGGACTATGAGGATTAGAGGTGCCAAATTAACTATAAAATTTTTAAAAAAAATTCTCCCCAAATGCAACCAGGGTAAACGAAAACCGGGTTCTTCGTCGTTCTCCTATTAGTGTGTAATATAAAAACCTTAATCTGACAACAGGTATGCAACGGGGAGATTGGCCACCCGAGACAACAATTAGTTACAGAGTACGCATATCTAAATATTTTATTTTCATTAGGTAACAATTTTTTATTGTTAATAAAAACAGTATTACGCGTTAATTGTATTTTCCAGCCAATATAATAGATAGATCATAAACCTGAATAACTAAATGTATAATAAATAATAATATTATAATTCAGAATAGTAATACATTCTTAATTGAGACCAGGGAAAAAAAAGTAAAATTTATTACATTCATAAATATATAAGAAAGATTATATTAAGACATCATTCATTATAAATTTAATAGATAATTAAATAGTTTAATTTTAATTTCAAAACGTGTCGTTTTATATTTTTTGATAGGTATCCAACTCCACTCATACCGCAAAGTTTTTTAAAATATCAATTCCTTTTAAATAAAAAGATATTAAATTATCAAAAAAAAAATCTAAAACATGTTTGACAGCGTGTTGAAAATATTAATTTTTTTGTCGTTTGGGAAAGTAATAAAAAAATTAATGATTTATTAGGTAATCGACGCTGGTAAAATCGTTAGCCTCTTAAAATGTATTCAAATTTTTTTTTAATTTAATTTAAATATTTACAAATTCTGTCTTACGATACACTCGACTGTCAATAATTATTGACCACAGGTGTTTATTTTGCTCGTTGAACCACCTTGGATTGGCGCCACATGACTTCATGTGAAAGGAAATGGCGGAATGGGAAAAGAGACCTCTTGTCGCGAGAACCCAAATCGCAAGAGAGGCTAAAATCAGGGTTGAAAATATTTTTAAGAAAAAAAAATATGTTATCTGCTTTAGGGCACTTTATTTAATTGTTGATTAAATTCCTCAAGTGTGTAAAATAAAACATTGGTATAATTTCAAAAATACAAAGCGTTTTTTTCTCTAAAATCTTAAGAAATTCAAATAAATATAACTCGGCCAGTTTCCAAGATATAAGAACAATTTTGGTCTCAAAATGTTTAACTTGATTTAGTGCAGAATTTGGAATAACCGTTAACTCAAAATTTGATTTTTGCGACATGAGGTTTTCAATCATATCGCTGCATGTGTTGTGATTTCATTGACAATTTTTCGTTTTGGCCTGTTGCAATTTTTTAGCGGATCACTATTGGCATACACAGCGGCGAGGTGGTGACGGGCGTGATAGGCCATCGCATGCCTAGATACTGTTTGTTCGGCAACACTGTGAATTTGACCAGCAGGACCGAGACCACCGGCATACCCGGCAAAATCAACGTCTCGGAAAACGCGTACAAGTAAGTGTTGTTATTTATTATCTTGCATGTTGTACACTTGGACTTGGAGAAATTAGAATGAAATGAGACGTGGGTGGCGGCAAAAACTCTTGAAGAGTTGTGATGCCAAGGTACAAGAAGATGACCATATCGTCGCCCCGCTAGAACAATGACTGAACTGCTAAAATTCAAATTTTACAGGAGAACGAAAAAATCAAATTATTTTCACTAAAGTGTTATGGGATGTAACTTTAATGGAATGGGAATGCCTGGGAAATTATTACAACTACAGTTATATCGTTTTGCTACCTTATGCGTTCGATATATTTAAACACATTGAAGCATTTAGCCCATTTTACCAAATTTTGCAGTTAGGTCATTGTTCTAGCGGGGCGGCGATATTATACGTATAACAGCTCTATATCGGGTTCAAAAAAACACGGACTTCACGAATAATCAGAAAAATTCACGAACTACATACGAATAATTTCCATTAAATTCACAAACTTTGACAAGTACTACGCGAATTGTCATTCGGATGCTCGTAAAGGTAAAATAAGAAGATCTAATATATACACAGGGTGACGTTTTAAAAGTCAAATTCTCCTAAGCCAATTGCAACATTGTAATTTTTCTCTTTGGAGACTCCTGAATTTGTATGACAATTTTTTTCGAAAAAATTAGTGTACCAAATCAGATGCATCACCCTGCACTTGCACAAAGCTCTGGAACAGTGCCGCGAATTCGTGAGTACACATTTCACAAAAACACTGATTCCACGAATATTCTTCAAAATTTACATGAAATTCACCAACCTTCACACGGATATCCGCGTAGTTTGCATTTCACGAACCATTCGGACATTATGATATCCGTACGTTTGTTTACACATAGTATAAAATATGTGTGTTTATTGTGTTTTCGGCCAGCGCTTCCGTGTGTGGTCTTAAGTCACGTACAACCGATCTGTACGTGTAGTGGAAATGATCCAGTGCGGTACCTTGCCAGAGAGAAGAGGACTCGGGGGGGGGGGGGAATGACGATGATGAATGGTCTAACGGCCGTGAGTTGGTTGGAGAATAGCAAACAAAAACACACATAACAACATATTTAATTGAAGTATGAGAACGCGCGAAACGAGCGGTCCGGCGAGAGATCAAAAGCAATAACGAAAACGGCACTCGAGCACGCGAGACAGTCTCTTGAGACGCTACGAATGTGTGGATAATTAATGATAAGGGTTTTTAATGTTTGTTTTTTTTTTTTTAATTTTTTCGCCATATTACTTAATGCTCGTTTTCTTCGCAGCAGTAGTATTAATGTAATCCCACTATCACGCCTCCGCGCAGTGTGTTAGGATTTGCTTTAAAACAACAAAATCGCCTAATGGTTTCTGTTTGTTAGTTACACTTTTTATCGGTTATAATAATATATTATGCAGAGTAAAAAGTGACATCAGTTTTTTAAGTTTAATAAAAATACACGTTTAAGTAAATTAAAACTGGTATGATTTCTTTTGAATTCGAATCGGTTTCAAATAGTTAATTAGCGAAAACTAATGTGATCGCTTCTAAAAAAAAATCCATCATTCTATTTAGCACTTCTTTAAAACACAGGCCACAAACCCGATCACCTTAGCCATAATTCCAATTAAAAAATCATACCTGATATTATAAACTATAATCTAAATCAATTTGATTACATAAGACAATAAATTTAATAAAGCTAATGAAAAAATTAAAAATAAATACTCTTATTTATATATATATATATAAAATTAAAAAAATGTCCAATTTAAAAACGAATAAAACAAGTAGGTAATAGATAATATTTAATCTAGAAACTGAAAAATCAAGTTAATGATTTATAAAGTCAATTATAATTAAGTTATCAAAAAATTAATTAATTTCATAAAAAAAATAACCTTGTGAGAGAAATTGTCAAGATATTAACTTGCCATGAACTTATCAACGCGTTAACAAGTATATTTCCCAACATTGAGTCAATAGCTTTTAGTATTTTGGATATTTCAGTCATAAAAATAAGTTTAACCATGACTTTAAGTGTTATAACGAAATTTCCCTAGCTGACAAAATAAAAGCGGTGTAAAGATATTTTCATTTAAAGCTATAAAACCAATTTTTTTCAAGGGAAAATATTTGTTTAGAAACGTATTAACGTTTAAAATTTAACATTTACATTCCAAACGAAATGCAATGGCCGTTCACTGAAAATAAAATAGTAACGCTATTTTTGGTTGGTCGAGGCAAAAGTATGTACACTAAAGGGCTAAGGCTAAAATGTCTTATCATTAATGCAGTGGATAACTGTTGTATTGTTTTATCGCCGACATATGGTCTACAATTAACTGAACTGGTAGTAAAGATGTTGTGTTTTTGATGGAACAGAGAAAGAGAGATGTTAAGTATTTTTATAGACAAAAATTGCACAAATTAAAAAAAATATATGTAATCTGGTTGTACACGATTATTCTGACCTGCGCTAGGTGTATTTTGCTGAACTCTATTTTTATTTTTTAGAAAAACACAGTTATCCATGTAAAATAATGTCATCACGACAAGAAAATAAAACCCAACCAGATTTCGGCTAAATTGTATTTAACAAGTTATTGTTTTTTTTGTGAGTATATCAGTTGTATATAACCGTAAATTTGAACGTTAACCGGATATACCGGTTTGGCGGTTGTTTTCCAATAATATTAATAATAATATTGTTTAGGCGTACAATTTCTTATGCGACCAATTTGTCGGTAACGGTATTGGCGAATATTCACATATCTAAAATATTCAAATGAAATCCTAATCTGAAAACGGATATTTTAACTTTTTTTTGTTGACTTAGATTTAATTTTATGAATACAGGTTGACATCCATTTGACGTAAGACACTCGTTTTATTTTTAATCAATTGTGTTGTTATATTTGTCAATAATCAGAAAATGTTTACTTTCATCCCATAATATGAGTAAACCAAGTGTGAACTTTGTTTTTCCAAATAGGAAGTCATAGCAAACGAACAGATTGATGAAAACTCACAATTTGAACGCTGATATGTTTCAAAATGTTTTGCCTACATATTTATGGAATTTAAAACATGTTCACGTTTGAAAAAACCAAGTTCATAATTCTATTACGTACAAGGGAAGAAGGTAAAAAATGTATTGAAGTATTGAAAAATATAGTAAATTATGTACCTGAAAACGAGTGTCTTACATCAGATGGATTACCCTGTATATATTATATTATTACAAGTCGATTAATCGTTTTTTTATACTTAATTGAAAAATACCGTTGGATGAAATTTTTGAAAAGGATTTTGCACTCAAACGCTTTGGAACGATTACGGGATTTTTTTTTTTGTTTGTTTTTGTTTGTTAATTGTTTGTATTGTTCGATCGATAAGGACAAAAGCGCGTTAAAGTCGAACGGTCGTTAAAATCTTTAGACCAAAAACTCTTTTCTTTTGATTCTACGACAAAGAAAGGACCCGAGATCGATTCTGGCCGATAATACTGTAGCCGAATAATAATTGGTTGCGTTTCATTATATTGCCCGACGACGGCCCAAAGGTTAACAATAGGTGGGTGCTTGAGTTAAATACCTACCCTATATTTTTCAAAAAACAAAAAAAATAATAATAATAAACCTTTTGAATTAAAAGATTATTCCTTCCTTCGCCTTATCCCGTTCGAAAGGGTTAGTCACACTTTTACATCCGTTACTATTTCTCTGTTTATTGCACATCTCTCGGTGATAAATTTTGGACTTCACAGATATTACATCTGACACTCGGCACAATTGCACTACTTCTTGAAGTTTATATCTACCTCGTCTAAACAAGTACAAAAAAATGGATGTATTCTCTTTCATTCGATACTGAAAAAGTATAACCTCAGTGCTCAGTCCTCGACCACACCATGGGAACCACATGGGAATTATGTATTCCCTTTATTATTTTTCCATCCATTCTTGGGTTTTTTTCTTCTATAAAAGCGGCTCACGACATATCTCTTTGTCTTGCAGTTAAAGTCTCGGTGAAAAATTAAAAACTAATTTTATTTTGAAAACTAATCTCAAAAACTTTGAAAGTGTCTGAGCGAAAATAAATGCTGAACTCCTCAATGCTGTAATAAGCTAACCGAACCTTAGTGAAGGTTCGAAAGGGAACATATTTACATTTCCAATACTGTATTTTTAACTTGTTTTATAATATTCTAATAAATTCCAAACTGGTATGGAATATTTTTTAGATAAAGTACAATCTCGATATATTTAATAAAATAAAATAAAAAACTCTTTTTCCAATAAACTTAAATGTTACATGTTATGAATATTTTTTTCAAATGTAGGTATACTAATATCACTATTGTAAACATAAATGAAATAATTATCTGAAATACTGTTGTTGCAGCACAACGATTCAGGTCGACCGAAATCACTACAAAAGCAAATTACTGAAAAAAATATACCACAAACGACATTTCCATATAAAAATCTAACTCGTTCAAATAAGATTAGCCGCGTTCTCTACGCTTCGACCGGTATGATTCGTTAATTAAAAACACCGTGTAAATAAGTAATGACGCAACTATAAGTAATCGGAGGATAATAACTTTCTATAGTCGAATTTGAGGTGTTATAATAAAAAAACCGAACCAAAGCGATTTAAACGTTCTGAACAAAAAACAAAAACCCATAACAAGATTTCACTTAATAGTGACATTCGTCCGACTATTTACACATACATATAATTTATGTGATCTCATTTTTTGTTTTCATTTAAGTTATTTGCTCTTAGCTAGTTTCCAATGGCCAATCGATACCTAGGTGTACCGTTAAGTGCTAGTGGAATTCAGCAATTTAAAATTTGACAATAAACACTACATATATTTATAACAGGGGGTCGCAATAAGTAAAATATAATGAAGTACCCTAGCGACAAAGGCTAGCTACAGGTGACCAGCATGACGAAATTGCATTTCTCTGGTACATATTTTTTTAA